TATGTTCTTATCGCAGGTTTGCCTTGCTGAATCTCACTGCATTAGGTAACGTTAGTTACAATATAGAAATACTTTCGAATAACCACCATTGAAGGAATTGCAATAATTGAATTTGGGTAGGGGTCACCTACCACCATAGCATTTAACGTGTTGATACCATTACTCCAATTCAAATATTTTCATTACAAATAACGACGGATGCAACATCCTTTTTCTAATTTATAAATTTAACAATTTACAGTTATGTATCATCAGCGAAGTGTTTTGAGCGATTTCCTTCTATTGTGTTTCTATTGTATTCCAATACGTTCTATTGTATTCCATATCCATTGATATGCAATAATGTTACTGCACTTCTCGCATATCAAACTTCTAGTTAACGCTCTACGATTTTTCAAGATCAGACGCGTTCCAGGTTAACGGATGCAACAACCGTATCTAAAACAATCATGCAAGCAATATACGTCGCGTTGCGCCCGGGAGAAGCAGCTGGGCGCCTTAACTGAATAAATTTGTAAGTTATTGTATTCCCATTGGCATGCAAATCCGTCGGACACTGTCTCGTCGTGTAAGCTTCACCGGCGAGACAAAAGAGAACAAAAAGGACGTAAAAAAAAGGATGAATTCCGGCAACGTGAAAGTCCCGTACGAACGATTCGCGTGAAAACACGCTGGCGTGTTCGCGCGCGATACGCTCGCGCCGCGGGGATTTGTGTCGATGGGCTCGCTCGTTTATAAGAAAGCGACGAATTCGAACCAATTAGAATCGCGACTAACGAAGCACGTTTTTTATTGTAGTTTTTTTTCCGTTGGCCTGGCCGAAATGTAGCGTCGTATTTCGAAATGAGGTTTCATCCTGGATCTCCAGTCTCTGGTCAAAATAAAAATGGTGTAGATTGTTTATTTATTAGGTTACACCGTAATTGATCCTTTATTATCAACTACTCGATTTATTTTTGATATTGTTGGGTGTAAACTTGTATTTAGTTTTAGGGAAATGACTTAAAGCGATTTACAAGTAGAATTCGAGGTTTTGGATTTACTTTATGAATTATTATTAGTATGAGAGTGAATTTTTATAATATTTTTAAATATGTTAATTTTAAGAACGATTTCCAATGATTTATAACAAATTTGTATTGACCTGTAAATTATGACATACGAGTACGAAGGGTTAACATCGTTTCTGATTCATTTTTCAATCAAAAACTGTAAAATTTCGTCGAAATTGGTACTAAATTGGAGTTTCGAGTTGAATAGATATTAACTTTCTAATGGAGATACCAGTGATGGACGAACATGATGATTATTTTAAAGCAATGCCTTGTGTATTGTCAGAATTTAAAAGGAACAATATTTTGGAAGTAAGAGAACAAAGAAAGTATCTAATAAAACTGTTAACGTCGCTGTGAGCGACGCTCAAAACTACGGACACAGCCACCAAAAGATAACAATGTATACTATACCTTACAAACGTTTAGCGCATTGATACAAATAGTAAAACTTTTATAGACATTTTCCGTAAACTAAACATCTCGGTAAAATTGCATGGCAATTTTTGAAAGAATTTTAGCAATTATAAATGGAATTCAAGTGATTAAAGCAGAGCTGGCCAATCTTTGCATACGATACGCCAATTTCATTCACAGACAAGTTCAGATGCGCCATACAACTCAAGCACCTCTCCGACCGTCTTATCTTCACTTTGTAGTAGGAAAATAGAGATAAGAGCAGGATCTGCTTCGCTTAGAGAAGAAAAAGGCATAACTCAATCTCGCAATTAAATTAATCAATTTACGTTAGTTCAAAAGGCACACGTTTATTGAAGCACTTAAATAGAATAAGTAGGCGCAAGGACGCAATGCGCCACTTGCAATCATCCAATGCGCCACGTTTGGCAAAATTTTCATCGAACTGTGCGTTACGTATTTCGTTCCCAAGCTTCCTATCGCCTTCCATTTGAATCGTAACATTTATTCCTGCGTAATAATCCGAACCGTGCGTTGAAAAGTAAAACGACAAGACATTTTGGTCAAGTTCGTAAAGAGAGGAAAAAGAAGCGAAAGAGAAGAGAAGATCGGTCGGCGACGATCACCGGTCCAGAAAGAAGAGGCCGATTACTTAGATGGAAGCGGAGAGTCGGAGAATCGAAGCCAATCGAGACGGAACGCCACTTTCCCATCAATTTCGCGTCGAAGTCGCCGAATTTACGTCTCGGCCGCACGGAAGCGTGATCGGGCTGAGCCGCACGCTCTGGCCGAGCTACAATTATCTTCGATTAGGCTGCAATTTCGTCGAGGAGCTCGCCGAGGAAAGGTTTAGCCGTCCGTAAAGTTCCGATTTTATGCGCTTTTCTTCTGTCAATTATTAGCGGAGCACTTTGCAGCACTCTTGCGAGTCATCGTGATTATATGCTCGACGTTCTTCAAGACAAATACTTGTTAGACCTATCCCGGTGGAACCGAGAGTCACTTGGTTAGCCTCGATCCTAGTTTTTCAATACGCTTGATCTTTTAGACTTTTATGTGAGTACTGTGGAATATCGAATAACCGAGTCTATTTTTTTGGATTTGGGGAATAGAATTTTAATTAGCTATGGAACATTGCTAATTACTACAGTATTGAACATGATATTCAATTTGATTCGAATTATCTATAACACCAGATTTACGAACATTTACTGCGCAGACTGTTCAATCGTTCTTAGAAAAATTGATATTCATCCAAATCTTAGAAATTAGAGGTTTAAAAGTAGACAATTAGGGTATGTATTTGCGTGATTGCATCAATCAAAATCGAGTCAACCATTTACCGAATAGTGTTTATAAAATTCAATATGAGTCACATTGACTCGTTCCGTAAATCAAGTGATAAAATATGTTAAATAACAATATAATATCTGAGTTTTATGTGTAGTGATATAAATTGATTTCACTGAGAATCGCCATCCGCGCAATTCAATTTTCTAGGAATTACCCGGCAGCAATGTGTTAACCCTTCGCAGACGAAGATTCTCGGAAATATACAAAACCATCAACAGATGAAGCTAAATTATATATCAATTACTTGAACAATAGAAAAATAGAAAACTACGTCCCGATCTGTTGCTATTCGAGTAATTAAATCATTTGTTTATGACTTAGACTTCCAAATATGAAAATTTCATCTCGTCGAAACGTCGATATTCGTCCGCAAAGGGTTAATATCAAGATTCTAGCTATTCTTTGTCTTTGCTTTCGCAGGATTATTAAAAAACAAAGGTCAATGACCAATCAGTCGACGTTACGCAAGTGAACGAAGGATAATATTTGAAAGTATTATCCACGCTTACCATAATTCCTGCGTTCTAATTACGCGCCAGTCGCGCAGACATTTACATGGACGAACGTCTTGACAATACAAGGGAAAGAACATCGGCAGTAATTAAATCGAAAAATCCGAGAAACTGCGAGGAACTGAGACGCGCGTACGCCGCGTTCGCCTCGATAAGTAGGTCGATTGTTATCCGCGCATGAAGCCGATTGAGTAACGAAAGGATCACGGCTAATTTACGAGCATTCTGCGATTCTTTCTTTAGCAAAAAAGCCTCGTCCACGAGTAAAACCGTCGCCGTCCGACGTGGATTTCCATTCGTCGGCGGCCGGTAACAGTGAAGAACAGAAAATTACGCGTTCAATTACTAACGATCATTTAACACCGTTACACCCGATCGATTCCCGCTCGAATATATTTTCGTAACGTGTCCGTGTAATACTCGAGCTGTCGGTGAAACCAATAATTATATCAGGCCCGTTGGGATGGTTAGCCTAGACTAGTTCCAGCGTCGGGAAAAACAGGAAGAAAGTTACGAATCGATGGCGTGCCAAGCCGAAAAAAAAGAATTGGGATAAAAATGAAAACCAGTTCGATCTGAAAACTTCGCTTGCACGGTGAATAAACTCGAGTCTAGTCGTTCGGTCATTGGGGAGTTGAATTTTTCTTTGAGTTTCGTTTGCTGTGCGTAGGATTCAGTTTGTTAATAGAATTTATATTTGTACGTTGGTTATTTTTGTGTTTATTTGTGTGTCCACTTTTTTAGTTGCTTCTTTTGTATGTGTAATGCTAGTAATGCGTGATGTAATCTCTATAGCTCTATAATCTCTATAATCTCTGTAGACACCTCGTTAACGACGTTAACGATCGTGATGTGCTAAGAATGGTACCGGACGTTTCGGAGCGTTTTATGATAACTCGTTTGCAACTTCGATAAAAGTGGCAGATTTGAATGTTGAAATAACAATTTGGTTTTGTGTATTCATTACTTTTATGTTCACTTTTATATCTCTGTTCCCGCGATTTTGTTTGTTCTGTCATACGCGATCTGTGCGAACAACGATATCGAATGTTTCGAAGTGTTTTAGGATACTCATTACAATAATCGTCGGAACTTTCATTCCTTCCTCCTGACGCGTGAGCTGATCGTTTGAACGTAACTCGAGAAGTTATAAAGTTTGATCGTTACGCGGGAACCTCGACGAAATTCTGGTCCCGAAAAAACTGCCATTTTCACGTGCATTAATCGCGAACTCGACGAAAATGACTTCTCGACACCGAATAACCGATTTATATTCATTTCATGGATGAAACTTGGTTCCGCGTCGTTAAGTTCGTTGACTTAAAGAGGTACCCGCCGTTCCCGAAATCGATATGCAACACATGATGCATCTGGAGCACTTCCGATTTAAATTTAAACGATATTACCGGCCTTGATCGATGACCAAACATTGTATTGCCTCTTGTTTTTTCGTTCGTCCAGTGTTTATGACTCTGAAGATAGGGGCAATTGTGAATTCAATACGAGTCACAATGCACAAAATAAATGTTTGATAATAAAATACATAATTCTTTTCTGATTATCTAAAAAAATTTTTCTAAATCATTTTATTATGTAACATTTTTTTAACCAGGACGAGAAACAATAGGTATATCTTTGGATTTGGTGATACCGATCATTTGATCGACTATAATGGTACACTTGGAGTTAAGAACATCTGGGAATAGTTACGAATTTTAGACGTAGCTGTAGCGGTAATTGTTGCTCTGGTAGCTAAATCTGCATCTCTAGGTCTGGTAGATATAGCTACAGCTCTAAGCCTAGTAGCTATAGCTGTAGCTCTAAGACTGGTAGCTAAAGCTGTAGTTCCAGGTGTGGTAGCTAAAGCTGTAGCTGCAGGTGTGGTAGCTAAAGCTGTAGCTCTAAGTCTGGTAGCTAAAGCTATAGCTCTAGGTTTGGTAGCTAAAGCTGCATTTCTAGGTATGGTAGCTATAGCTGTAGCTCTAAGTCTGGTAGCTATAGCTGTAGCCCAAATCTGGTAGCTAAAGCTGTAGCCCAAATCTGGTAGCTACAGCTGTAGCTCTAGATTTGGTAACTATAGCTCTTATCTTTAAATTAATTCCTTAGTCTCATCTACATATCACCAAACAATGTAGAATATTTCTAACGACGAACTATCGCGTTCAAAAAGTAAAAAATCCGTCACATCAGCTATCAATTGATGCGCGGGAAGGTCACTGATCAGAAGAAAAAGGGAGGAGGTCTGTGGGAGGATCGGCATACCGGAGATAGGGAAAAAAGGGGGCACAGGTTATGACATAATTGCTTAAGAAAGTTCGGAATGCGAATATACAGTGCGGCGGCCGCGGTAGAAGTAGTTCACGCGTGTTTCGCAAAACTTGTCCGTAAGCTAGGCCGGCTGCTGCGTTTATATCCTGCGACCGTTTATATGCCACGACCGTTTCCTTCCTTTTTTCTTCGCAATCTTTCGCTTCCTCCAAACGGGACTGCATTGTAATTATCCTCCATGTCCAGGACATTCGCGACTTTTTTCGTTCGTTCGCTTCCGTTCCTACTTTTCGTTCGTTTTTCTTTTGCCAACTTCCGTGTTCATCCTTTTTCTCCTCTCCTCGTTGCTGACCATCCTATCGGTACTCGGCTTTCGGAATAAATGCATTGTGCAGCTGCACTCTAACACGATCTTAGTAATTTGTATCTGGTAACTGGAAATGTTTGTACGGTTTCTGGAAATAAAAATTCGACACGCGTAAATATTTTTTTAGGAAACGTTTCATTCATTAATTGCTTTATAATACGTCACACGTAATTTTCAGTAGAATTTAAGAAATGCAAATATTAATTGATTGTTCTAAATGAAAATTAAATATTGTTCTCTAATATCAATTATAGTGGTTTGTAGTAAACGTAGATAGAATGAATCTGGCATTTTTTTGTGATCAATGATATAATTCTATACATTTCCTTTTTAAGTTTGCGATATTTTTGATTACCTAGTAATATTCATACTAGAAAATTTTCTTTTGCCTATTCTATATGTATAATTTGATTATTTAATTATTCGAAAATGTCTTCGTTCTATTGAAGTTGATGCCGCGCCTTTTTGAGTGCGATAGTGTATCTGTTTTGAGGTGTCGTCAAACTTTATCGTCCGCGTCTAGAAGTTCAGAATATTAAGTAGAAGCTGGAACTTTACGAGATTCTATAAGAGCTCCCGTTTTAGTGTTTGGGGGACTTTTCTAAGCTATAAACATATAAGAATCCGCGTGATAATAACGAATTATGACTTCATGTGTACGTGAAATTTTAAGTAGAGGGTTAAGTGGCCGACGGATGAATTTGAGCTAACGGTACTAGGTGGTTGAACGTTTCGTTGCATAGCTCGACGTCGGCTGGCCTTCGCGTTTTTCCAGTAAGCGCGGCATTTTTCTTAACGTTTCGACTTTTACGGCCACTAGGTAGAACGTGTCGCGGAACGTTCCACCTAACTGAATGATTCCCATGTCTGATGTGCGTCTCATTCGGTTCAGACTCTTCGGTTCAGAAACTCGCGAGAATAGAGAAAAGGAATGGAAATAGGCATATCTTTTCAATTCAAATGGTATCTTTTTAAGTGCGGATATTTGGGGCAGATTTAAGTTTTTAAGGAGTAATTGGTGGACGAAGAAATTAGGGGAAAGCTAGGTATTATAACATATATCATTTTATTGAAATTTTTATTATTATTGAACAATATTTCCATGTTTCTTGAAAACTTGGAGATTTGGAAATTTGGAGATTTGGAGATTTGGAGATTTGGAGATTTGGAGATTTGGAGATTTGGAGATTTGAAGATTTGAAGATTTTAATAATTGTAGATTTTGAAATTTCAAGATTTGAAGATTTGGATGTTTGGAAATTTGGGGATTTGAAGATTTGAAGATTTGAAGATTCGTAGATCTGAAGATTTCAAGATTTGGTGATTTCAAACTTTTAAAATTTGGAGATTCCAAGATTTCAAAATTCGCTAATCTAAAAATTCGTTAATTTCAAAATTCGTTAATTTAAACATTCAAAGATTCTAAAATTCAAAAATTTTTAGAAATGAATTTCACTCTTTCTCTTAAGCTTGTTTTCTTTTTAATAATATCTGCTCCGAGACGTGCTGCATGCTTCTCGCCGCGCATTGCCGTGATGCATACAAGTCAGCGAATCTGTATGTCGGTCAGAGTTAATGTCGATCCACACTGTCGTCGTTCAATACCGGTGACAACTCAGTTCCGATGAATTCTCGACCGTCGAAACAGTCTTGGTGAAACCTGCGTCCGTGATTTCAATGTGACCTTGCTTTAACAGTCTCCCTTAAGTGCCTGGCAGACCCTAACAGCTCATTCTCCCCGTCTAAAGGTCCCAGTGCAGCTCAATGCAGCCGAGTCGTGAATCTAGACGACCGGAGGCATTCACCCAAAAGAGATTTATGGTACTTTATTGTACCAAATAAATCCATCGGTTAGTGTCTGCGGTTAAACGAATGATCTACGGAGTTTTATGCATCAAATCCTACAAAATCCACCAGAAATAGTAATACAGAAACATTAACAAAATATCAATTCTATTAAACCTTCTATCACTTATTATATACTCATCATTTATCATTAATCATTGTCTCATACCATTTACTCTACCAACTTCGAATATCACCTCAATCCATCAAACGCCTCATTAATCGAGCAATCAACTTACCCACTAAGTCAACATACAGTTCCAAAAAAAAACAACTTTCAAGCTAAAATCTAATTCTGTTAAAAGTCCCGAGTAAATAATACCTCGCAACCATATCTACAATCAAATCCCTACTCCAAGCATTCATAAAACCAACAAATCTCAAGTAACATCTCCCACTGTAAAATTTCAATTCTCCTGAAAACCTGAAAAATCCTCTTCCCAACAAACTCCAAACACTCCATCCTCGTATATCTATTTCCCGCGAGCCCCTAAAAATACCTGATCCCAGCAAACACTCGCCATCGATCACTGTCAAAACTGCCGCCTCCGACGGCACCGAGTGGCCGGGTCGCGGGCATCACGCGTCCACGCAATGTGTTATAACTTTCCACGGCAGGTGGAAAGCCCGATCCAATTCAGCCGTCTCTGTTTTCGTAGCAAGTAATAGTGAAGTCGATTCACGGAATAAGAAGGGTCAGCCGAAGCCTACTTTCTTCTTCTGAATTGTCTCTCGAGAATGGGACCTGCGCCGGGCCGCGCCGCGGTGGGGAGCGAGAAACGCGCCGGGAGAAGCTGGGCCCCCTCTCGGCGCTCGGCGAGTGCGCGCCAGTCGTTACTACTATAGCGAAGCGACTATCTCGGCCGAGCCGATGGGCCCAGCATAGTTACTCTTGACCGCGAGTTGACTCGGTGAACTTTGCTTCTATTTAATCCGCCGTTTAATCGCGTTCATCCGCAACCCCGAGCAGCCCAGAGCCGACAGATCCGTCGCTTTCCGTCCAACCCGCGAGGATTTCATCGATAAATTCCTTCCGACAGAGGTTCATCGATCCCTGCCGCCATCCAGGTGGTTCGTCCTAGCCCGGCCGATGTTCAACCACTTCCTGTGACCGGCTGGCTGGCTGCACCGGGCTGCGAAGTGGACTTTCGAGACGTTCGAACGGTGAGTACACTCTCCAACCCCCTAGCGGCGAGGCCGATTTTATTACGAAGTTTCGAGATCCATCTACCCGCCGAAGCGGGCTCATTCACGGCGGGTAGTGATTATTTCGCGTAAGCTAAACCGTTTTCGATCAGGCGCCGAGCTGTGTTTGATCGAGGGATTACCCCGGCACGAGAGAGTTTCGGTTGCAGCGGCGCGGCCGACTCAACCCCCTTGCGGCTTGCGGGAGACACTTTAAAGTATCGCTCGGCCACTTTGAATATCAATTTTCTTCGAGTTAATTGGGAATTTTTGTTGGTAGTTTGATTTAACCCGTGAATTCTGGGATTTCGAGGAATGAAAGGATTGCGATGAAATTGAAGAATGAAGGGTTTGTAGTTTAATGGGGAGCAGATTGGGTTCTAGAAGGTAGAAAGTTAGGGAGGCGAAGAAATTGGAAGGGACACCTAACGCGAAGTGAGATGGAACGATAGGAAATCAAATTTATAGTGTTGTGAACTTTATTTTCTATTGACATAGCTTACTTCAGTCAGTGTTTCTGCCAGTTTCATTGCTTTCCTGAGTTTTTTGCTTTTTCGGAAGGGAAGTCTTTTCTTCGTTGGTACTCGTCTAACGCAGGTCAAATGCAGTTATAATATATTCTGACGAGAAGTTAGAGCGAAACGAAGAATTACTTGTTCATCTGGGAAAATGAATAATTCGTCTTTGAAAGAATTAGTAGCAGTTTGATTTTAAGGTGATGATCATAATCGTCGAACACAATTAACTGGTTAACGGCTTGGGTTGGTGTGTCGTGTTAGGTTTGTGAAGATTTCGAACATCAATTACTCGTTTCTCTGAGAGACTTAATAATTCATCATTGAAAGAATTAGTAGCATTTTGATGTTAAGGTGACGTATATACTCGTCGAACACAGACGAAATGCATCTGTAATATATTATAACGAGAAGCTAGAACAGAATGAAGGAGAATTACATGTTTATCTAAGAAAATAATTCATCATTGAAAGAATTAGTAGCATTTTAATTTTATGACGTATATACTCGTCAAACACAAGCGAAATGCATCTGTAATGTATTCTAACGAGAAGCTAGGGCAGAACGAAGAGGAATTACGTGTTTATCTGGGAAAATGAATAATTCATTGTTGAAAGAATTATTGGCATTTTGATATTAAAATAACGTATATACTTGTGAAACACAGTTAGCTTGTTAACGATCTAGATTGCAGTGTCGTGTTAGGCTTGTGAAGATTTCGAATAGAATTTGAGGAACGTGAATGTTACTCGATTCTTTTAGGTTTAGGTTCAATATTATTTCTTTGTTATCAGTTATCGTGGCTTACTACTGGTAGTATCTTTATCTAGGAAATTATTAATCACAGTAATGTGAAAACACACGTGCAAATACTTCTTTTCTTAAATATTACGAATGTGATGTTGATAGTTAGCTAATGTTCCTTGAAGATATTGATGTGCTTAGTATATTTTCTATTTGATGTATGAAAAACAACGACAATAATTAAAAATAAAGATCCAAGTCTTAAAGGATCAATTATCCAGCTTGTTATCTTCAATTAGTGGTGCTCAGTGGTACGATCGAGCGTTCTGACAATTTCTTAATTAGCCACTGCATCGATGACCTCCAATCATAAAAATCATCATACCAGCTTCATTCTTTTCAATTCTTTTATATATTCTTATAGGATCCTTTATTTGCATCCATTATAACATTCATTTTTTTTGTCATTACATCTCGTGTTCTTCTGTCACCAATTCCACCTTCTAAGCTTACACTGCCTATGAATGATGAAAGAGGTTCACACGGATAGTGTCTTAATTACACTATCCGATTTATCTTCGTCGAGTCAGAGACTACATTATTCTTGTCCATGTATTATTATTGTCTCCAACATCGTACAATCGTTCATTCTGCCCAGTTCAAGATTTCACCATAATTAGAATTACTATTATCTACGATAATATTTCATTATTTTCGTTCAACTTCAACTAATATTATGAAACAATTCCCTCTCTAATCACTTCTCGCTCCATCCCTACTGCGCACAATCGCAAGTGGCAATTAAAAAAGAAATTAAAGCGATATCTGGAAAGAGCTTAATCTGAAAATAGCACTTCATTGTTACGCTGTCTACGTTAATTAGCTGCCGAGTCGTTGATCTTCAAGGAGATGCGGTATCAAGATTCCGTCACCCAGGATTCCAAAAAGACGGCGACCTTTTTACAAACTTCACATTCACTTTTGCCGCGGCCCGATGCGGATCTTGAAAATGGTGAAATCACAGATTCACAGACGAAGCGTCGGACTAATGAGATTCCGGCACTCGCGGCGTCCGTCTCCGCTGAATTAATTAAACCGGGACGACTTAATTCCCGCCGGTAAATATATATCGCACGGTTCTAATAAATAACGTAAGTCACTAGCGATCCCCGATCGAAACGTAATCCGCCTCGGAACGTGAGAAAGTTCTTAAAAATATTGGTCACCTCATTTATGTGGACATTCGCCGAATTACTTTCAGCGCCAGGCGTCCCGCGAAATTTTCCTCGGTCTTACATTCCCGACATGCTGGATTCCCCATTATTTTTCTCGATTTTCCGTGTCCACTCGAAACACGAAGCGATAAATATAACCTTCGCCGTTGTATGGAAACGTCGTTTGTCACGGTCAATTGTGATTTAACGTCGGGTCGTGTTCATTCCGAGCGAGACGTCGGTTCCAGCAATCGCGCGGTGCGAGCTGGCTATTGGAAATTAATAGAAATTTCAGTGATTTTCTTCGAAATTTGTATTATTCAGAATGATTATCTATATTCACATAATTCTAGATAATAGAATCTATATTCAAATAATAGAAGATTATATAACAGAAGATAGACAATAGAAAATACATAAAAGCAAACCTCCCAAATAATACAAATTTCCAAGAAAACAACTGAAATTTTCATTAATTTCTATTAATTAATATATGTTAACGATACAATTATACTTCGTTAATTATATTCTGAAATTCATCATTGAGATCAGTTCCAAAACGTTTTCACTGAGACGTTCAGTAATTAATGTACTCCTGCCCCAATAATACACTACAAGCTAATCAATCGTAACATTTAATTAATTACATTCTATCAAAATATTCATTAAATCTTCTGTCTCACGAACAATTAACCAATCATTCCTCAAACTACATAGTTCTTCCAGTTTTCGACACACCTGGTTTACCATTAATGGCTACTCTATGACGTCACGAGTGCCAGGTTCCCAGCAACTGGCGGTAGGTTAGGAACGTGTTTTTTCTTACCGATCATGCATGCGCAATTTCTTCGCATAAACCCGATTACGCGCGGTGATGCACTTGTCGGGCGATGCCGGTGGCTGAATGGCGTCCATCAATTTACCACGGCCCCATGAATATTGAAACACTTTCCGCGCGGTCAGCGTCCACGGAAAACCGGAGAAACGTACGCGTATCCAATGCCACTGGCCCGAGATGTAACACACTTCGAATAGTTTTCTCCGATACGATCCGGACAAATTCTTTGGCTCGTGGAACTCGATCAACCGACTGTTCCTCCATTCGTCCCACATTGTACTGTTCGTAATCGATTGCCCTTGCACGAAAGTTTCGACGTTTCCTCCGAAAAATTTCTCCCTTTGCCCATCGCGTTTCTCTTAACCCTTTACGGACGAATGTTTTTTCAACTTTTAGAAAATCCTCCGATGAAAAAATGAAAATGCCTCGAAATTTTCACCCTTTGCACTCGGAAGTTTTTCACTAGAATTATTTGAACACTTTCTGATGAGATAAAGACGATATTTTGTGGAACTAACTCGAAGAGAAATCATACGTTAAGGAACTAGGCTATTTTATTTTAATATTTCTTAAATTGATGCGTCATGTGAGGTATAAAATTAAATATCAAATTTTACAGTTTTACAGAGTGAAATCAGGTGGTGAGTAAAAATCACCTATCGAGTGCGAAGGGTTAAATATATACTAGGAAAGAAGAGAAACGTGTGTCAGTTTCACGTTATTTGAGTACCGAAATGATTGATTTGCTGCTTTCGATTTCAAATATGAATGCTCGAAGTAGCCATTACGGCGGCGTTCGAACGTGATGGATTAAATCTTTTTGCTTCGAGATCGGTCTTGCTTTTTTCTCCTTTAATGCTAGGAGTAACGAACGTTTAATCGAGGAACGTGTAGTTCTTGTGAAAATGGTAACAACAGATTTTCTCGGTTTTGTATCTTCAATGTAGTATTCAGGTGAAAGTTATTTTGAAAATCGTTTCGGATGTTTCATGGTTTCGAGATAACAATAACTGCATAATATTGAAATTCGTCATTTTTATAGTAGTATAAGTATCATTTGTTTTCGGGGAACGAAATTTCTATATTTCTGTTGCGATTTGTAAGAATTGAAGATTTCATGTACAAATATTGCAACACTAAAGCTCGAACAAGCACAATCGTTTTGATTGTAGACGTAAGGGTTAAATAAGTAAAAACCGGTAATGATCTTTGATAAAATATGAATATATAACCAGACAAATTTATTAACACGTTGAATGTCATGGATGTCACCGGTGACTCCCGACCAGATCGAATTATAATTTAGTCAATTAAACGATGATTTTCAAAAATTTTTATATCATAAATAATGCTACCTAATAAGGTGACATTCAGCTACACGAACGTGCAACAATAATAACTCAAATCAATCGAATGATTTAATATTTCACTTTGTCGTGAAATTTGTTATCTTAAACGTTATTTTCGTGAATTTTGAAATTGTGCGGCATCCAACGTGTTAATATTCGCTAATAATGAAGTCGTGTATTATTTTCACGGGTTTCACGGACTCGTGTCGTTAATGTGTTTGGTTCGAGGTGTTCTTTATCTGCACGGTGAAATGTTCATACGTGAAACCGTTGACCGTCGTCGAAAATGGCGAACCGGGAACCGTAATGGAGGAAAATT